TTTATTCCTTAGTATTTTTATTTTTGAATTTACTTGAGTATCAAGTGAACAGCATTAACATTGAGGTCACAGAGAATACACAAAATGTATGTAAGATCAATGCTACAAGACTAGTGAAAAATGGTTGTGTGTTGGCAGGATTTTATCAGAATTGATCACTTGGTCTTGAAATTACCGTAAGAGATGGCCTGTGCGTGTCTGGCTGCCATCAACTAACTTGTTTAAGCTTGATGTTTGGTGCTTTTGTGTATAACTTGGGCTTTGAGAATTAAATAAAAATAGTTTTTATCGTACTATTTAATTTAAAAGTGATTGAACTCATCATTATGTCAAGTACTGAAAAGAAAAAATGGAGTCTATCTGAATATCTGTTGAAAAAAATTTTTTTTTGCACTGCTTTTTTTTTTTTTTTTAATTGGAAGGGAACAGTGTTGGGGAATTGGGGAAGGGGAACAGACAAGTTGTTCTTCAGTCTTAGTTGTGGAGGGCACCAGTCACCATCTGGCTGCCCGTCGACAGCTCATGGCCTCTAAGCTCAAGGTGCTGTGTTCAATCTTAGTTGCGGGTGGTCATAGCCACCATCCCATGCGGGAGTCGGACCAGCAGCCTGGTTGTTAAGAGTGCATGTTCTATCCACTGAGCTATCTGGGTGGCAGCTCAGCTCAAGGTGCCAAGTTCAGTCTTAGTTGCAGGCAGGCATAGCCCATCATCAAACAGGTATCTCACCAGCTGAGACATCCTGCCACCTGTTGGCAGCTCAGCGGCAGCTCAGCTCGGTGTAGCTCACTGGCCCATGTGGGAATCAAACTGGGTGACCCTGTTGCTAAGAGCTTGAGCTCTTAACCAACTGAGCCACTTGGCCGGCCCTCAGTGGTAGTTTTGATCCACCTGTGTTTATACATTACCAGTCATGAAACTCATTAATGAATTTTTGCTTGAACAAGAATTGGTACAGACAAAAGAAAAGCGTAATTCATTTTAAAATCAGCCAGTGATAGGTTGAAATGATAATACACACCATTGATTATCAAACAGAAGGCACTAATGTGCAAGTTTATTTGTATATTAATTCAAGGACTATGTGCATTCCACTTGTGTGATTCCACTTGTGACTTTGGTGTTTGAGAAATGTAGTATGCCCTTCCCTTAAAAAAAAAAATCAATGTAGCTATTTTATTTGGCTGATTCTTAAAGATTATTTTAATTGTTTTGAGAAGAATAATATTTTAAAAATTTAAGCAGAATTGAAAAGTGCTGACAAATCATCCAAAAATTTAAAACCTGGAAATAACTAAGGTTAGTATTTGAAGATTATTTCAGGTATTTCTCTATACCTGTGGGTACACATATAGTGATACATTTCTTAGGGTTGGTTACTGCATCATAATATTTTCACTTCTAAGATATATATTTTTTTAAGTGACACCCTTTTTGGGTTATTGTTATTCATGGCATACCAATGAACGATTTTTTGGGAAAATTCTGATCTAATATGTGCCTAATTTAGCCATGTCTTCTAAGTATCTTAAAAGTTAAAATACCAAGGTTGATTTAACAGCATACAGCAAAATTATTATTCATTAAAGAATATTTTCTTTTACTTTTCAACTATTATTATGTATTATTTTTTTACCTTAAATCTTCTTGGGAATTTGATAGAATACCCTTTTTGTTGAAGATTGTACTTATTTAGGTGTTAATTTTTATCTACATGTTCCTTTATGTTGCAGTCTGATTCAGTGGTTTTGATGTCACAGTCTAGGCAGAGGACATGTAGGCGTAAATATCCATTTTATGGTAGAAGGAATCTTGGACGGATTGAGTTATCTTCTGGAAATGAATCTTCAAGCTCTATAAGACATGTGAGTTTTATAACTTTAAAATATATAAAATAATCTTAAAAAATTTGTCTTGTCTTACTTTGAATCTATCCTAAAATTATGTGAAAATAAAGTGTTCTATAGAGGTTAAAATGAAATTTCACGTTTGAATTCTAACAAAAATTTTGAACAGCTTCATAGAGGTACTCACTTGCTACACAAGTGTACTTCAGTGGTTTTAGTGTATTAACAGAATTAGTTCATTATCACCACTATTTCAAAATACTTTCATCACCTCTAAAAAGAAACCTTATACCTATTTTTAGTCACTTCTCATTCCCATTCCATCCAGCCCCTGGCAACCACTAATCCACTGTCCGTCTCTGGATTTGCCTATTCTGGACATTTCACATGAATGGAATCATACAGTATGATTTTGTGACTTTCCCCCCCCCCCCCCACTTAGTTTAATGTTTTCAAGGCTGATCCATGTGTAGCATGTATCAGTTCATTCTTTTTCATTGCCTAGTATATGAGTATACCACATTTTGTTTATCCACTCATCAGCTGATGGACATTTGTATTATTTCCACCTTTTGGCTACTATGAATACTGCTTATTAACATTCATGTATGGGTTTTGTTTGGACATGAGTTTTTCATTCATTTGGGTAGGTATCTAGGAGTCACTTTGCTGGGTCATGTGGCAGCCCGATGTTTTAACTGTTTTGGACTTGCCAGACTTGTTTCCTAAAGCAGCTGTATATTCCTATCAGTGTTAGATGAGGGTTCCAGTTTCTCTACATCCTCGCCAACACTTGTTATTGTCTGTCGTTCTGATTTTAGCTGTCTTAGTGGGCGTGAAGTGGTATCTCACTGTGGTTTTGATTTGCATTTCCCTAGTGACTAATGATGTTGAATATATTTTCATGTGCTTATTTTCCCTTTGTATATTTTTGGAAAAATTTCCAAAACTTCCAAAATGCACATCTGTTGTCCATTTTTCAATTTGGGTTTTTAAAAATTGCTTTAACAGTTTTTTATATTCTGCATATAAGTTTTTTTATCAGATAATATAACTTGCAAATATTTTCTCCCGTTCAGTGGGTTGTCTTTCACTTCTTTTGATGGTTTCCTTTGAAGCATGGAAGTTTTACATTTGAAGTCTAGTTTTTTATTTTTCCTTTGTTGCTTGTGCTTTTGCTGTCATATCTGTCTTTGTCTAACCCCTTTACTTTCAGTAATCAGGTAAGTTAGTGGTCTTCATTTTTATTTTTCTTGGGAAACCAATATTTTTGGTAGAGTATTTAAAAATTAATATTAGAATGTTAATATTTTCTAATTCAGTAATGTTTTGCGGATGAATTGTTCCATATTGATGAAAATTTCATTTTATTGTTTTATAAAGCATTAATATTGAGTTTAAATCCAAATTTTTCCCCTTGGACAATTTGCTTAACCTTTCTGTGCTTCTGCCCACACCTGTAGAAGTAATTAGTAGTAGTGTGTCCCTCAGGTGTTGTGAGAATTAATTCAGTTAATCATGTAAAGTGCTTAAAACAGTGCCTAATATCTGATAATATTAGCTGCGTTATCCAAACTGTTCATTTAAATGATTTTCTTTTATGTAATGAGACTTTTTATGTTATTTTCTTCTCATTTTTAGTGTATTGAGCTGTTTTAACCCTTTCTGAATGATTTTGGGTAATTATGATAAACGTTCCCACTCATCCTCTCTACTCTCTAGGTAACCCGTTTCACTAGTTTTTTGTTCGTCCTTTTTGTATTTTTTCCCCACACATTGTTCAATGTATATTTTTTTCTCCTTTTGTACAAAAATATATAGCGTACTGCAGATGCGTTTTTGCACTTTGACCTCTTTTCACTTAAAATATTCTTTTTTCTTTTTTTTTTTAAAGATTTTTTATTGGGGAATTGGGGGGATGGGAACAGTGCTGGGGAATTGGGGGAAGGGAACAGACAAGTTGCTGTTGTTTTGTTCTTCAGTCTAGTTGTGGAGGACGTTGCTTCCCTGGCCCAAGTTGGCACCATCATTGCGCTCTTCCCGGGCGAGGCAGATTAGTCACTGGCTTCTGGACGGCCGCTCACTGCGGCTGCTGGCCGCTCACGCTGGCTGCTGGCTATATACGGTAGCCCATGGCAACCCACTGCCACAGGGGCTGCAGCCTACCCCATCGCTGGCGACTCACGGCAGCCCAGCTCCAGGTTGAGCTGTTGTTCAG